ATTCTGCCTTTACCTTTACAAGAAATTCTGCCTTTACGAACTCAAATTATTTCTTGAACTTTTGCATTTGAAGCGATATTCAGAATCTCGAATACGCCTTGATTGCTGGCCAATCCGTCATTCGTCTAAATTCACATCTCTTCGAACATGTCGAATGAAAATCCGAACTCCGTCATTTAGCGAACTGCCACTATCCCACTCTCAGCGTTCCGAATTCGCGCATCCCGAATGAATTCTGCGGGCAACGATGAGTGTTAAATTCAAGTGAATTTTACAGGTTAGGGCGAGAACAATTAGTCTGTAAATTTTCCAGAATAAATGCAACTCACCCGGTGGTAATCTGTAAAGTACACTTATGACAAAACTCACCCGCATTCGCTGAGTTGCCACCCGTTTCCTCGTAAAGCCTTCCCGCCTATAGAAAACTGCTCAAACTTTCACTGGAAATCATTTATTCATTGATACGTCAAATTTTTTAAAGAAGGATCAACGGATTGGTAATTAGCGAGGTGAAAAAGCTTGTAGAGAACGTGTATATGATGTATGCATGTGTTCTGAATTTAATACGTTTGCGAAGTATTTCAGTTGTTCGTTGTGAATGATGTTCTCGAACACGCTACGGGAGGTTGATAACTGCTTGAATTGTATTCAATGTCATTTATGGTAAATTTTTACTTGCAAATTAATTGATGCTTTGATCGTAAATGAGTTTATTGAGGCATTAGTTCGCATTGTTATGTTATTGTTATACGAGATTTTTGGGAGTGCATTGCATGTGTCACTTTTCAGTCATCAACCCAGTGATCAACTTCAGTTTCTGGGTAACTCATGTAAACATGTATTTTGCTGGTAAGTATTTTGCATTCATAACCATATGCATTTATCCGTCGAAGGTGCAGAAATCGATAGCCAAAAATGCCTTACAAACTGGTGAAAATTTTTCCCGGTGGTTGTTAATTTTGCCTATTCTGCAGTTTGGTGAACTTCTTTCGGTTCTGGAGATCCCTTCATCTCTAGACGAAGTAATCCATTGTGTCGACGATGTCAGCTTTCACATTTTAATGTAATAACGAATAAATTACACTGCATTCAATCGTTCAATTAATGAACGAGTATGTACATATGCACAAATATAAAATTACAGGAAATGTATCGATGATATGTGTAAAAGTGATGCATTTCGACTGTGTTCGTCCTGTTCTCTCCCGCTCGACTTCCTCCATCCAATACCAGCAACATTCATTAACCAGTTCTACCAGAATCTTATCATATTCAAAGAGCATCTTTCTAGTGTACGTCTTCTCTGCTTTTCAACGCATTAGAATCAATTATGTACCCTTGGAGTACCCTTCAAACGTATTCTCTCATTAGCAGTCAGTTTTGATTTTCACAGTAAGATGAAATACATCTCTGACTATTTTACGACGAACATTTCTATTTGAGATTCAACCGGGTGATTTTGATCACAACACATTAGCAAATCTAATGGAACCTGATCAAAAGCGACGTACTATTGAAGAGTTTTGTGCAACACAGCAACAGGATGTAGTGGCAGTGGCCGACGCGATGGAAGTAGATAAGTTGGCCGTTGAAACGAGGTCGCTGATATGGAAAATTTTTCCTAATTTTATTAATCAAGTCACAATCTTGCCTTTTGGCATTTATCAGGTTGAATTGATGATATCCAGATTGGAGAATATGAGGAATGATTAGATTAATGGAATTTAGAAAGAATGAGCCGATCTCATTGGTGAATGATGAATTTGCAAAAGAAAATATCGTGATTGAAGAGGGAGTGAGGTATAACGATGAGTTTGTAAATCAGTTAATAAATAAATATACCGACGTGGATATGGTCAGAGATGTGGTACCTCATCATCTATCCAGTGAAGAATCCAGAGCCACAAGCGAACGGTTGTTTCTTAATNTTTTTTTTTCGGTTTATTCAGTTTCCGATTTCACTCAACTGAAAATGAAACTTATAAACAGAAAATTCAGGATCGGTGACGAAAGTAAAGAAGTATCAGATTCTGCCAGTGATGAGCGTTCAGTGATTGAACCAGCACCAAATGATTTGTCACATCTGAATGAGCCGGCTATTAGTCAAATTCTTCAGAAGTCTACTGCAAGCAAAAATTCCAAATCTGACGGAACTGTTCATGATGATGCATCAGTTGTCCACTCATTACTGAGTGATCGCACTGGAAATGAATCAAACGGAAGAGAGAATAAACCCAAAATTAACTTCTTGGCTGAAGAGACACAGGAATGTGAGGCGGTGAATCCTTCTCCTATGATGACACAAGAAATACCAGTTTTTAAAGAGCCCGATGAATATCTCTTCTTCAAGAGTCGTCCGTCTGCAACATTTCATAACGGTGCGGTCAATCTTCATCGCATGGTAATTCATTTAGTCCAGCGTTATTTTTCACTTGCCATTGGCTCTTTTCTTCGTTATTTCTCGAAATTACAATATTTTTGCAATGAAATGCTTAGTGAACATAAAGTTTCTATGAAGGGCAGCAAATAATATTTCAATATTTACTTGTCAAAGATTTCAAAAATGGAAGCACAAAAATATTATTATGCATTTGAATAGTTAAAACAGGACTTATTTTGCGAATAATTCAGCTCTGAATTATATTTGGATGATACATTCAGGAAGAATTGCATCAAAAGATAATATCGCAATCGACAAGTAATCGGCAGTGTAGTGTTTCAAAGCGAGAACGTAAACTACATCGTAAGAAGATGACGAATGACCTCATGAAGGCAGCACTTTCAGGTCAAAAGCAACCAATGCTCAGTGCAATCGCGGTGAGTCAATACGTGATTGATCATTCGATAAGGGAAAACTGTTATTCTCGCAATTCACAACTTCTAAAAAATCAATCCGGTATCTGCGCCATTTCTTCACCTCCCTCTTGAATCACGCCCCTGGTATCTATAATTTAGTCTGCACACAACATGAATGCTGCTTAACGAAAATTTAATGTGGTGTTTAGATGGGCGAAGACGTGAACCAAAGAGATGCACAAAAATATACGGCGTTACATCACGTAGTTGCGTTAAATGCGGTTGATTTGTGCCAAATTCTGGTTGAGAATGGTGCTGTGATTAATGCGTACGGTATGTGTTATTCACACGTTCTGAACTATTATCGTACAGTTGGTTGACTTTCGATACGATTATAGTGCCAAATCTTGATCGATTCGTCTGATTTTGCACTTCTCGAATATATGAAATACGAAATAATAAAAAAAACTTAGAGCTCATTTCGCAAATCTTCTCTTATAGCATCTTTCAAGATTACGATTACTTTTGAGCGGAATGTTTGTAGATCAGTATACATTATTCTATTTAAGGAGGTGAATTGTGTGAAACTCCATTACACATTGGTGTACGGAACGATGCCTTTGATGCAGTTAAATATCTGCTGTCGAAGGGTGCAGTTAAGAAAGCGAAAAATATCAAAGTGGGCTTCATTTAATTTGGTTATTATTCAGTCGAAAACGAACATTCTCTATCTGATTTTGGTTAGCTGCTTTGAGTCACTTGTATTTTACTTTTAGGGTGAAAGACCAATTGATTTACTGCGAAACGAATCAATGAAGCGAATATTCCACCAAATTAATCAGTGCATGCAAATCGGCGAGTTTTTATTGACTCATTCAAGTGTTCTATGATGTCATTTGTCATTTCGACCTCACCAATTACTTTAGATTTATGTTTATGGAATGTGAATGACGGATAAATGAGACATCGCTTCGTTTTCAGTTTATCCATCGTGTATGAATCGACGTTATTCGGTGTATTTATCGAACGCAATCCCCCAGCGACTTGCCTCTGAAGGCAGAAAATACCTCCAACGAACTGACCAATATACTGATCGCATTGAAAATGCGACTCATTACGTTGTTAAAACGGCTTTCTGCAAATATGCTGAAGCTTCAGGTATTTCAAAACACTTTTTCCACAAACAAAGCAACGCTTCTGATTTATTGAATTCCAATTCTTCCTGACAGTATTTATTCACGATCGTAGAATAATCAAGTCATACTCCAACAACAGAACAAATCATATGCGAAAGCATAAAAGCGCATTGGAATTCAGGTCGAATAATGGAAGCAATACTACGTGGTTTATTCATAGTATCAGACGAATGGTTGCAGCGGTGTATTGAGAGTGGGAAGTTGATCGACGAAAGTGGATACGAAGTGGATGGTTTCGTTCGCGAACGTCAACTTCTTGGTGAACATTCGAATGCGAAAGCGAGGAAAAATCGACTGAATATGGTTCGTACTGACAATATTTCTAGCGACGTATATGGCGTGTACGAGAACGATTTTTGTTCATTTCTTGACTGCGTAAAAAAGAAGCGTAAAAGAGATATTCCTAAAATATTGCTGTCCTCACCACTTGTAGAAATTTGTGTTTTAATTTGATTGCGATAACGTACCGTTCGTTTACCCTTATTCAAAACGATTTGAATAGAATATTGAAGAAATGAAATAAATGAATAAATTATTGGTGACCGTAATGATGCGCAGAGAAAAGAGTAAGGATATTAGTGCGATTTGTTCCGGCGTCATAATGCCCATCATCGATTTTTACTGTATTCTCTGCGCGTTAAATAAATTGTTATTTCAATATTTCATTTGAATCACCGTTAACACATTTAAACGCAAATCGATCGTTCTTTCATCTTTTCATATGACCAGTTTAAAAAAAAATTAAATCGCACTTAAGAATTGCAAAAATGTTTTTCATACAGAAGCCAGGGCTGTTTCGTGGATGTCACTTCTATATATGTCAACACGATTTTCAATATACGGTTCAGAAGGATGTGTTAATACGTTTAATAAAACTCGGCGAAGGAGTTTTGCTAACGAGAGAGCCGAAAGCATGCGACTATGTGGAGTCAGGGATAAGACCATTTCATGCGCCTTCTTCTTGGAACGATCAACCGCAGGTACTTTTCATAAGTGTGTTGTTTAGTTGGTGTAGATTGCCGTTCAGGCGACTTCATTCATGTGCGTTCTCTGAACACACCCCACCACTTGTTCCACATTATATCCATGTGGCGCTTTGCCGCCTTGATAATGATATTGTTCATTGGATTTACTTCTAACGTTTTGCATCGTAGATGACAGGAGTATTCGCAATATATGTACCAGGACAGGCAATTCCGCGACGAATAATTGAGCAGAAACTTATCAACATTGTCACTCCTTTATGGTTACAAGAGTGTGTGCTTCGCTTCGAACTTCTACCACCAGACGCACATTGACGATCTCTGCATTTCATCACGGTCGTTTCAATGGTCCATACATATCAACGGGTCTTTAGATGCGATATTAAATGCACAGAATTCTTTTGATTGTATATTGCGAGTATCTCAGCATAAAATCTCTTTTTTAGACTCATAATATGATGTAGTTTATGTTTCAATAATCTGTTGGCTTTATCATTGTCTATTGATATTTGCGTTCATATTTTTTTCTGTTTAAATTACACGTATTCTGACTCTTGTTTTGTTTACTTGTATATCTCATCACGTTATGTATTATACTGTATTATTGAAATTAATTGAGTTCGAGTCATATTGATTCGCTCGCGTATTGCATGCCAACTGTTGTTGTTCAGTCATTATACAATATGTTTACTAATAAACATGACTCATACTCATGTGGACTTTCTTTTTGAAAGATATTATTGTGAACCGATGAAGTTGTATCGTTTTGAGGAAAATGAATTGGTGAGAATAATGTTTGTGATGATGGTAAATTTAATAATGTAACTTGAGTGTCGTTTGACTGAAGTGTTATAGATTGTGTAGATAAAGATTGTAAATGAACAATGAAAACAGAGAATGTTTATGCGAAAAGTTAAGGATAAATAAATGAATGAATCAGAGTTAAATGAATTTCAATAAATGAATTTTCACGATTCGTTCATTCACTTGCTTCAGACCAAACTTCTTAATCAGAGCGGAAGACATCAAAAATGAAAGAGAATTACGATGCACTCCTTTCGACTGGATGACGGAAATGTGAGATTGAGCTGGATGTACGACGTACGTCTTACTGGATGAAATGCGTTATTTGCTCCGGTCATATTTGCTCACTTCACGCAGCTATCACCAGTTGCATTGTGCAATAGCATATCAAGTGATGAACGACGTATCGTTTGTCCTGGAAATTCGTCGAAAACTTACAGTATGAAAACAACGAGTCGTCTACTGCCAATACAAATTGCCTCCTATGGTTGGGCTTACGGAGGAACGATGCAATAATAACGAACAAAGAAAGACATCTCATTTCATCATGGTTTAATGAAACGCGCTGTCATTCATATGGCTCTGTTCAGCACTCAATCTAATATGTTCCAAAACTGATGAACGTAAAATGTATCATTGATAGTGTTATGTCAATGTTATTGATATGCTATTGTTATGTCACTGTCATTTGAATATGCTACGATAGATGAGCAATTACGAAATAGACTCAAATACATAGCGTATTTAAACGCATCCAAAATACTTTTCACATGATCCAATTCCTTATGGCACGTCGACTAGCACAGCACTCTGGTCACTTTGTTTCCATCAAGACTGCCTGCATTCATTATCATTGCTTTTCGGTTGTTTATATGGATGAAGTGTTTCATTTGTTGAGTACAGGCTTTGCGTCAATTTTGTTGCCATCTAAATGGTCATTGGTGAATTTTGCTTTCTACTAAACACTTTCAAATTGTAAAGAGAGTGAGAGACTACTGAAAAGTTTCTAAGGTTACGGCTAAATTATTCTCGTAAGCTTCATTCCTTTCTGCCTCATGCATCTCGCATCAATTCTTCTCACAATCAGTGTAAATGGTAACGGCGAGTAGAAAGAGCAATTTTGTGCAGAACGAATGAATTTTGCAGAATCACTGAAAAGGCATTTCTCGCTTCATGTACCACCTATTATTCCAATCTCAATGATGTACAATTCCAATCACTCAGAAGGATTTTTCAGTGGTTCACTCTAGTTGAATATCTAAAGCAGACGTGGTGAATTTCTATAATATCGTCTGAATATGAAGTCAACAAATAGATCATTTCATTATTACCCTTTCAACCCCTCACCACACAACCAACCACCTAATACCGTAAAAAACATGCAAATGTTAGTTGCGTTATGAAAATGCGCTTTGTACGATCGCACTGAAAATACACCTAATGCACTGAAAATTTGTTTATAAAGTTGATATTATTTTAAAATGTCAACTTTATAATCAAATCAATATTTAAAATAGATATTTAAAGTGAATATTCACTTCCGTTGATCAAAAACTCAAAAGAATATCAATCGCTTATGTTAACTATCTAAATTTATTAACGTTTCTTCCGCTCAAGTTGAACTTTAATGAGAATGTTTTTTGTATGTCATTCGTTTCAGTGAGAAGTATCCTTCGTCTGATATTAAATAGTTTGATTAATTTCAATTGTCACGAAACTGGCGAATTTTTATTGTGCATAAAAGCAAAAATGTTCACACTGATTGCATCAGCACAAAAATGTGACCAAGCAAAATCGCACTCGTTGAAATGACACCATTCATTTGAAAAATGATATTTTATGTGAAGCGATCTGTTTGTATTCCTTAAGGCAACATGGAAAACAATTGGAGATTTTTGATGATTAGAGATTTAGAAAGTGACGCATTGTTGGAATGATAAATTCGTNTTGCTCGGATTGAATCAATTTGTACATTTATCATCTGTGAATACCAATGACAATACAGCTAGCTTTGGTTAAATACACACATTGCATTTCAACAGAAAGCAACCAACTATTCATTTCAAATCGATGGTGATCATTTCTTGGTTTGTCAGGAAAACTGGCTTTTGCTAGTCAATTTGGTGTGGTGAATGAAGTAAGCGAAATTAAGATTACACTTCAATGAGATCGATCCTTTTCGTTCGCATCGTAAATTCAGAATGTTTTATATTCATACTTCCAGCTGAGTGATGCTTTTAATTAGCAGAATGTTACGTAATTGGTATACGATCATCATGCATATTTCCTCGTTCAATTTACTCGTTTTATCCATTCAACTTATACGACTGCCTAAATATACTCCACTGTAAACGTGTTCAGTACCTAGGAAAATCTTTTAAAATTTTAAACCGACAAAATCAAATGAACAAATTCCAGTTTTAGTTTGTCCAGTCAGAGCTGTTCGCTATAATCGTTTCAGCAATCAGCGTTATTGAGTTTAAGAAAAAATTACAATTTCGGAACATTTGTTTCGATTTTCAGTGTTCTCAGTTTTTTTAGGCGATTTGTTAAATTAAAAAAGTGTTTTTGAGTCAAGAATTCTGTTCGGCATAATTCGAAAGAAAGTACTGCTGCTTGACGAGGAATGATGAGGCGTGGTCGGACGCAGACCGCTGATACATTAAGCTTCTCCAAACCCAGGATACTGATTAATCAAATCAGATTGCTTATCAGGCAGTCACTTTACGGATGTTCCAGTGCATGAAAACTGAATCAGTCGAGAGTAAATTTTAGAGATATTCGGAGAGATCTATTATATATTTGAAGGGCGGTACCTCGTCGTCACTTAAATACAGTTTGGATGTTTCAATGGTAGTCGTATGTTCTTGTGAATCAAGCTCGTTTCGAAGGATAATGTATTCGTTGCATCACACTCACTACTACCTCAATGCTCTATAATTCGAGCACTAATGTTCATTATCGTTGTACTACACGTCAAACAATGCGATTCTACGGTGGATCTATTTGAAAGCCATAAAACAATTATTGGTACACTCAAAAATAGACGTTTCCCGAATATCCATTGAATTGTTTTCTCTAAACTTATTTTCATGATTTAATTCTCTTGAGAATATTACTCTTTCTCCCAAAATTCGTCGCATTTTAACACGGCTGCAAAGCTCAAGCTGTGCACAGCATCTTTTCATAAAAAGTGTAAAAAAAATGAATAAATGCAGATCCGAATGAGAATTTGCATCATTGTTGAGGATAAGCTTACAATATCTTGTGTTTTGTATCCTTTAGAATTTGAATTTTTTGTAACTCTCACCATATTCATCAATAAGCAAACACTTCTGTTCATCCATGGGCAACACTTCTGTAAATTTAGTTGGATTGATGTGAATTTTCACGGGAATGAAAAGTAATTTTTCTCATTATGCCAATCGCTAGAAGACAAAGATTTGTGAGACGCAGATGAATCGATCGAGCCCTGTCGTTTGTTATGCCCACTTATTTACCACAAAGCGATAAAATTCCCGTGAATCGGCTCACGGTCTTCATTGTCTTTTTGAGTGACAAATGTCTCGATACATTCTCATATCATTGCTTTTTATTGAGCAATTCCATTGTTGTAATTATTCGATGCAATTCGTTTGTAATTGTTC